AATATTTTAGAAACAAAGAGAAGCATGCTGAACTGCTATATAATATAAATCCTTCTTGTGAATGACAGACAATTTCCTCATAGGTGAACAGGAAAATTGATGTGGTTCTTCAGAAGGATGCTCAGAATACAATGGATGGAGCATGTGAGCAATGAGGAAGTTTTAAATGAAATGTAAACAAAAAAACAGTTGCATTTAGAATCAGAAAGAGGTAGTTAAATTTTTTTGTACAGATAATGAGAAAAGAAGGCTTGAAGAACTTAACACTCCCAGGGTAAACAATGAGTAACATACTGAACAATCTTGCACAAATGAATGGCTGTCAAGAAATGAGAGGGGGGAGTAAAGAAATAAAAATTACTTTGTGCTATGAAGGATAAGACATTATGGAGAGCCATGATTGCTCACATCTTGAAGGGACATGCTACATAAAAGAAGTTATATAAATATTACAGGACCAAAAGAAAATAAGTACTGTGCTATTCAGTTTTACATATAAACCACTAAGCTGAGTGTTGTAAAATGAAACCAGAGATAATAACAGAATTTTGAGGTGTGGTTTTTGTCTCATAGCTGAGGAATGCAAAAAAAGAAAATTCTATGTGGGGGTGGAGGATGTTCAAATATTAGGTAAAGATGTAGAGATCAGAAGAAGTATGTAAACAAAACATATATAAAATAAATTTCAGGATACTTATATCAAATAGCAAATGAAAATGAAATATAGAAAAGAGAGAATGAAATAATGTTGTACAAATTACTCATACAACTCTTATATAGGAAATATTTTTAGGGTTGTCTCCCTTGAATCATGTCATTCTAAAACAGAGAAATAAAACAGTGAGAAAGATAAGGTCTATAAAATCTTGAATATCAGTTTGTATTCTGTTGATTATTGCTTATTTATACAAGTAGGTTAGCAGTAAACACAAAGAGTTACAGTACTGCAAAAAACCATAAAAAGCAGATTGACTGTGAAGATAAGAGATGCTGGGTCTTTTAAACTATATCTATATAATATAAATTTATATATATATATATATTCTGCTATATATTTAGAGATTCTTGATAAAATCCAAAGAATCTGCAATGTTATTGGTCCTGACCTGGCATTACAGTCACTTTCCTACCACTATAATAATTTCCCTGTGGTTTTTCTATAAATACTTTCCTGATAATTGTTCCTATGAACATATCTCTATGGTAGATACACTTTATGAATTTAAGTGCAGTATTAGATTGGCAGCAAGGTTTCATCATTTTAGAGTTGAAATGGCTCGATGTAACCGTAAGTTCTATGCTAACAGTTCCTTCTATCACACTTCTCACTAGTGGAACTCTCTTCCAGCTTCTTGCTTTCCAGTCAACTTTGATCTTCAAAAATTTAAATGCAATTGTTATCTTTTGTTTTCTTAATACTTGTTCTTTTATTGTCCTCTCTCCAAAATGATTTCATCAGTTTATTTAATTCTCTGTAGTTACTTCTGTCTTAGTGGCTTTATTGCCTTACTTAGTGTGAAATGATTAAAATAAAAATTCTGTAATTATAATATTTAGTTATGACATGTTTCAGTAAACTTGTCTAATAGTGTAAAAGTTGGAAAATCTAATAAAATTTATAAAATTTATTGTAAGTGTGAAATGTAGTATAGTGTATTTTACATTTATTATGTGAAATATCTTAAACATTAATAATGTAAATATTTCTATGAATTCCTTCATGAATTACCTAAAAATTAGGAAAAATTAAAGATAACTAATTATTTAAGATGTAGTGTAGTGATTGAATGATAAGTTGATTTTAGAAAGAGATGAACAAGAAAAAACAAAATGGAAGTTAATGGGAATACAAGGAAATATATTGCATTTGGGATTGAGTCCTTCATCAGAAATATAATTAAAATATAGACAGAGAAAGAAGAATTCAAAACTAAAATATGATAAACAAAAGAAAACAGAATTTTTAATAAAAAAGCATAATGCGAACTTTGTTAAAGATGGAAATTCTTCTGCTTCTAATTGGTTTGATATGCAAGGGTGCTGATTGTTCTTGACCTAACCCACTCCACAAAATCTGATTAAATGAAATAAAATCAGAATATTTTTCGGAAGCATTTCTTGGTTAGGCTGAGAACTTTACTGCACTCCCTCAAATGTGATGTTTTATAGCAGCATATCAACCAGTTTATAAGCATCACACCAGTTTTTATTGGAGAGAGATTATATCAGTGAACATGACTATTACAAAAAGATGAGAAAATTTCAGTTTTAAAGGAAAAACATGTAATACTCCTACTAAAAGACGGTATACAGTGGAACTGACTATGCAGTTTAACTGTTTACCCGCTTCTAGTAGTGAGATTACATTCTAGTATTCTAGTAGGGGTATTACATTCAAGTATTCTAGTATTCTCATTGGGGTAATATATTCTAGTAGGGGTATTACATTCAAGTATTCTCGTTGGGGCATGATATTCTAGTAGGGGTATTACATTCAAGTATTCTAGTATTCTCATTGGGGTAATATATTCTAGTAGGGGTATTACATTCAAGTATTCTAGTATTCTCATTGGGGTAATATATTCTAGTAGGGGTATTACATTCAAGTATTCTAGTATTCTCGTTGGGGCATGATATTCTAGTAGGGGTATTACATTCAAGTATTCTAGTATTCTCTCATTTAGGGGCATGATATTCTATTCTAGTATTCTCATTGGGGTAATATATTCAAGTATTACATTCAAGTATTCTCATTGGGGTTAATATATTCTAGAATTATTACATTCAAGTATTCAAGTATTCTCATTTATATATTTTCAAGTATTCTAGTATTCTCATTGGGGTAATATATTCTAGTAGGGGTATTACATTCAAGTATTCTAGTATTCTCGTTGGGGCATGATATTCTAGTAGGGGTATTACATTCAAGTATTCTAGTATTCTCATTGGGGTAATATATTCTAGTAGGGGTATTACATTCAAGTATTCTAGTATTCTCATTGGGGTAATATATTCTAGTAGGGGTATTACATTCAAGTATTCTAGTATTCTCGTTGGGGCATGATATTCTAGTAGGGGTATTACATTCAAGTATTCTAGCATTCTCATTGGGGTAATATATTCTAGTAGGGGTATTACATTCAAGTATTCTAGTATTCTCATTGGGGTAATATATTCTAGTAGGGGTATTACATTCAAGTATTCTAGTATTCTCATTGGGGTAATATATTCTAGTAGAATTATTAATTTCAAGTATTCTAGTATTCTCATTGGGGTAATATATTCTAGTAAATTATTACATTCAAGTATTCTAGTATTCTCAATGGGGCATGATATTCTAGTAGGGGTATTACATTCAAGTATTCTAGTATTCTCATTGGGGCATGATATTCTAGTAGGGGTATTACATTCAAGTATTCTAGTATTCTCATTGGGGCATGATATTCTAGTAGGGGTATTATATTCAAGTATTCTTGTAGGGGGTATTATATTGTAGTAGGAGTATTACATTTAAGTATTAGGAGGCAAGGTGGAGTAATGAATAGCAGCTCGTATAAAGGAATTGGAGAGGAGAGTTCGAATTCCAGTCAAATCCATTACATTCACTTATGTGCTAATACCCTTGGGAAAGATATGAATCCTCTTCTTCTCTCCACCAGCTATGGATAAATAGCAGGACAGTCCAGGTTCTATAGCCTTGGATGGCAACTGGTCTACCGCAGAAAGAAATGGCAACCTACCGCGGGAAAAAATCTGCCTCGTCAATCATGTATCGCAAGACACATTATTGTCTAAGTGTGTATCACACATGACACAAAACTGATTTTAGTAGGGGTATTATATTCTAGAAGGGGTATTACATCTAAGTATTCTAGGAGGGGTATTACATCTAAGTATTCTAGAAGGGGTATTACATCTAAGTATTCTAGGAGGAGTATTACATCTAAGTATTCTAGAAGGGGTATTACATCTAAGTATTCTAGGAGGGGTATTACATCTAAGTATTCTAGAAGGGGTATTACATCTAAGTATTCTAGGAGGGGTATTACCTTCAAAGTACACTACAAAGATGGGAAAGTTGCAAAAGAAAGAAATGTAATTTTTAAATTTTTTGAATTATTTCAACACAAGCAAGCTGGTAATGCTACTAGTACACAAGGGGTTACAGGGATTGAAAGTGAAAGAGAAGACTGAGAATAGAGAGGAGTGAGGAAAGGACAGAATATGAATGGGAGTCAAAAAGACAGAAGATGGTGATTGAGGTTGCATTTAAATTTTTGAAGATTGTAGTTATTAGGAAAGCAAGTAAATGGAAGGGAGTTCTACAGGTGGGAAGTGTTAGAAAAGGAACGGTTGGAGTAGAAGTGGTAGTTGCATTTATATATATATATATATATATATATATATATATGATAAAGGCATTTTACATATATTATGATAATGAGACATTTTATTATTATGAGTCAATTTTATTATAATCATTAGGTATTTTACATATGTTATGATAATTTAACATTTTATTATGATAATTAGGCATTTTACATAGATAATTCATAATTTAAAAGTAAATCTACTTCATGCTCATTGAAACACTGACTTTGAGAAGTAGGGTAGGCCAAGGACATTTCAACATTCTCTTTGTTTTTTGGGATGGAGGAGTATTGTATGTGTGTGTATAAAGCTTTAGGGTGTCTTAAATATGAGAGTAAGGGTTAGAGAGATAGTATCACAGATGACTGTGTATCCCATATTTGTAGTCTTGTACCCAAACTAAGCTATACTTAGTATTTGGAGGACTTACAGTAAAATCACATTTAAAGCACTGACAACCAAAGGTAAGCAATAAGCAGACCTGATCAGTACTGACATGAGTAACCAATTAGGAAAACCCAGTATTGTAAGCAATTTCAGACCTCGTACCAAAGTAAGCATAGTTTAGTACATGATTATAAAAGAGGTTTCGGAAAGTTTATTTTCAGTTTAGTAAAAGATTGATACTAATGCTTGGCTGGATCCAGGATTTTAATCAAGGTGGTGTCCAAATTATGGTGAGCACACTTGGTGATCATGGAGTTGGATAAAATTTCTTTAAGGTTAATTTATGATTCATCATAATCATCAGGGCTGGCCATTTGCATAGATCCTCATATCTTTTTCTCTCAAGTCCTTATGATTTACCCATCGCATCTTATCCAGGGTCTTCAGGTTGGCATCCTGTGTTTTCACATATTTGTGGTATGCATGTTTGAATGAGTGACCAATGCTAGTGTGTCTGTTTTGATGTGCACAACAAAATGTCAATGATGAGCTCATCCTTACTTCATGATAAATACCTCCCAAATCTTGTTCTTGGTCTTAAAAAAAACTACTGCAGATGATGGGATATTGTGTTTGGTGCTCATGAGGGGCCCAAATCACTTCTTTTTCAATTAAATATTGAAATTATTTACATCATTTACATTATTCAGACTGTTATCCTCATCTTCACTGCCATATTCACAACGTTTTGGCCACTGTATTCTCCAGCTTTCTTCAGGTGATTAGAATTTTGAACCAAACCCTTTATTTCATCCACTTTGTTCTAGTTCCACGTGCCATACCTCTTCAACACTTCACAGGCATGTGGCTCAACACTTCACAGACATCTCTTCTGAGTAAGGCCCTCCATAGAGGAGAACATGACCAAGGACTGTGTTTATGCCAGACCATGCAACTGTGATAAGAAATATAAACGAGAAACAGGCTGCCCGCTTAAGGTAAAACTGCAAGAACACCGTAAAGTAGTAACATGAGGGGAAATAGAAAAATCAGGCATAGCTGACCACATATAGAGGGAAAAGGGAGATCAACGCCACCTGTGGGATGAGATTGAAATAATAGAGAACATCACTGAAAAATACAAAAACTAAAGGAATCAGCACATATGCTAGACCACAAAAATCTCCTGAGCCGACCAAGCATAGAAATGAATACAATATGGGAACCAATAATAAGGAGTGCTAGAGATAAGCAATGAATAACAACAAAAAATTGCAATATAAGCTCTGGTAAAAATATACAATAATAATAACAGAAAAATTGCAATATGAGCACTGGTAAAAATATCCAATAATAATAACAGAAAAATTGCAATATGAGCACTGGTAAATAAATAACGCTGAGACATTAGGTTTATAATTCTCAGAAGTTCATACACAAATGTCCTCAAGGACACATGGCCAAGTGGATAAAGGTGTTGGTTAGATCCAGTGACTATGAGTTCAATACCATGGCACACAAAACTAAAACAATCTACCCTGGTTTGAAATTACAATCACCTGAAGAAGGCTGACATGTACAATAGCCAAAACATTGTGAATATGGCTAGGAAGATGAGGATAACAGTCTGAATAATGTAAATAATATAAGTAATCATAATACTTCATCTGGAGAGCACATTTTCTGTATTAAGTTTTCTTGAAATACTCATACTAAAAATCTGTCCGAGTTCGTAGTTGATATTATTGAGTGTAATAATATGTAATATTGATATAAAATATCAACTCTGAACATGGCCAGAATGTGCTGACTGTGTTTGGAAAATAAAACATTCCTATAACTCGAGATACATACATAAAACAATCGACATATTCAGTCAAAAGTAAAATAAAATTCATACTTGATAATGGCTAAAACTATAGTTGAAACTGCTTGGAAAACCTTAGGACAATTTTTATATAATTTAAGTTCTGAAAAGAAAAAATTATATGAACACATGAGAAATTATATAAAACACATAACCACAGCAGCAGGAGTCATGGTGGAGTAATGGATAGTGGCTCGGATAGAGGAATCAGAGAGCTGATTTTTATCTTCCTGCAACTAATTTCTCTAATATGTCAGTCAGTTATGTGTAGGCGATCATGTATCTTTTGATACATGACTGACGAGGCAGATTTTTTCCTGCAGTAGGTTGCCATTTCTTTCTGTGGTAGACCAGTTGCCATCCAAGGCTACAGAATGTGGTCTATCCTGCTATTTACCCATAGCTGGGGGCAGAAGAAGAGGATTCATACCTTTCCCAAGGGTATTAGCACATAAGTGAATGTAATGGATTTGACTTGAATTTGAACTCGGCTCTCCGATTCCTCAATCCAAGCTGCTATCCATTACTCCACCATGCCTCCTCTTTAACATGACTTTTTCCTTTATAGTTCTATTTTCTTCTTTCCTTTCTCCTACTATTTCTATCTTCTCCTTACACCCTCTACCTCTCTCCTTTCCTATTTCTCTTTATCTCTATCCTTTCCTCCCTCCCACTACCTCTATCCTTTCCTTCCTTTCACTATTTCTATCCCTTTTTCCTCTCTATCTCTATTTTTCCTTCCTCTCACTATTTATATCAATTCCTTTCTCTCACTATATCTACCCTTTCTCCCCCCCTTACTGTCGCTATCCTGTTCTTCCTCTCATTATTTCTATCCTTTCTTTTCTCACACTATTTGTCCTTTCTTTCCTCTATCCTTACCTTCTGCCTCCTATCACTCTCTCCTTCCTCTCAGTATATTAATCCTGTTTTTCCTTCCTCCACTATCTCTATCCTGTTCTTTCTCCTACTGTCCTTTCTTTTCTCCTATTATCTGTCCTTTCCTTCCTCTATCATTACCTTCTGTCTCCTATGTCTACCTTTTCCTTTCTCTCAGTATAACTATTCTGTTTTTCCTTCCCCATACTATCTCTATCCTGTTCTTCCTCTCACTATTTCTGTCCAATTCCTTTCTCTCACTATTTCTATATTTTCCTTTCTCACACTATTTCTATCCTTTCCTCCCTCGCACTATTTCTATCCTTTCCTTTCTCTATTTCTATCCTTTCCTTTCTCTCACTATTTCTATCCTTTCCTTTCTCTATTTCTATCCTTTCCTTTCTCTCACTATTTCTATCCTTTCCTTTCTCTCACTATTTCTATCCTTTCCTTTCTCTCACTATTTCTATCCTTTCCTTTCTCTCACTATTTCTATCCTTTCCTTTCTCTCACTATTTCTATCCTTTCCTTTCTCTATTTCTATCCTTTCCTTTCTCTCACTATTTCTATCCTTTCCTTTCTCTCACTATTTCTATCCTTTCCTTTCTCACACTATTTCTGTCATTTCCTTTCTCTCACTGTCTCTATCCTGTTTTTCTTTCAATTTTTGATTATTTTTAACTTCATTTTTTATCTATTCTTCCCCCTCTCTCTGACACTTTAACAATTTTTCTTTATCTCTAATTCTAAATTATTGTAATTTTCTCTTTTCTTTCCCTACTTTGTTTCACTTTCCTTCCCTATTGCTCTCTCTCCCTCTCTCTCAAAAAACTCCTGCACATACGAACTTGACCCAGTTCTAAAATATTTCATGATTTCCAGAAATTATTTCCTTAGAAAATCACTGACATGGAAAAACTATGATTTTTATTTCTTACTTATCAGAGAAGATATTTTAGATCTTTAATATTTCTTCTGTCCAGAAATGTTTGAAAAGATAAGAAAAATTATACGCAAAAAATAATGCATCAAACATTAATATAAAGCATACCTTCATGAAATTTATAACTTTTCAAATACAATTATTTAAAAATGAAAAATTTAAGAAAACAAAATCAGAGATATTTTGATTGAAAAAGATACTTTGATTGAGGTATATTAAATATATTTAATCTTTTGCTTCTACAATCTAAAGGATTTGTGATGATAGCACAACAGTACTTTCCCCATTTCAGAAACAACATGGCCTGATAAATAAAAGTGGATGTAATCATATCTTGATGGCCAGCCACTTCCAGATATGACTGCTATATCATACATTAACCGATATTCAAATCAAAGTGAACAAAATCCTGATGTTGGTTTTGAACTGACAATCTGCTGTCATCACTCTTATAAGCCCTGAGTGTTCAAATACGATTGAATTGTCTCAGCTGTCAAACTGTTTTATATGTCTTAGATTTCACATATACTTGATCCTTGCATGCATGATGCATGCTGGGATTCTTGTTTTCTGATAAATGTAAACCGGCACTTGTCAAATGATGAAATCATTAGAGAATTAGTCAAAATATGTATTGATTACCAGGACTGTTGTTTATTATAAAAAGTGTCAAATATACTATATATATATATGTATATATGTTGCACATTATGAAATGGACAGAGTCCAACAATTATTTTTAAGACATTTTTTAGGCTTATACATTCTTTTTATAGATACAAATATTTCCATCTATAAAAAAATGAATAAACATAAAAATGTCTTAAAAATAACTGTCGGACTTTGTCCATTTCATAATGTGTGACGTTATTTGTTTACATTTGGATACGCTTTGAGCAGATATGAACGTACGTGAGAGATTCATGGAAAATTGTAGTTTAAAAGCAGTAAAATCGACCTTGCTAACTGAATGATCCTCTGTGGCTCAATCGGTTAAGGCACGTCAGGCTATATGATGGTTTCGTATAGGATACAGGTTCGATTCCTGTCAGAGGATGAATATTTTCTATGAGAATTTCTCGGACATTCAGGCCGGTAAATGTTATAAATACTGTTTATTATAAACAGAGCATTTACTTATTTGTATCTATAAAAAGAATGTATAAACATAAAAATGTCTTAAAAAGAAATATATATATATTAAAATAAAGTGAAAGAACAGTAAGGTTTATAATCTTGTGTTCTTATTAATTATTTTTATTTTTAAAAAACTGCTCAATACAATTCTGCAGAGCATAAATATTATAAATTTACTAATTTAAAAATATGGTTGCACTGCTACACAGGAATTACCATGCTTCAAAAACAGAAACTAAAAACTTTAAATTTAATTATAGAATTAAATTAAAATCCCTAGTACTGTTTCATTTTCAAGCAAATTTTGGAATAAGTTATTTTGAGATATACTGAGTTTTATAAGAACTTACATTCTTAATATTAGTTTCTAAGGATACGAGGAAATTCAGTCATTTTGAAAAGGGCTGGTAGAGTATTCATTTTCACTGACAACTATTGTATCAAAATATGAGTTACTTTGGAAATGAGGTAAGTTAAGGTAGGGTAGGGGTGCCTGTTCAACAAATGATGACATGTTTTTTGCATGTCGTCTGTTTTTTTAATGACAAAAAATTTTTACTGTGTAGTGATGGAACCATATTTTTAAATTAGTAAATTTATAATATATATATATATATATATATATATATATATATAGAGAGAGAGAGAGAGAGAGAGAGAGAGCATATATTTTGGGAGCATGTTTTCATTAAGACATGTCTCATTGAATAATTTAGACAAGTCTATTTATTTTCAATAGGATACTCTCATATTGATGGACAAGCTTCTTAGTATCCTTATTAAAGGAAGAGTGAAAATTACCATGTTGATATATTCATTTATTTGAAGTACTTTTGACATTAGCACAATGTCATCATCAGGGTCTTGTTTCTTTTCTAAGACAAAATTGTTATGTTCATCTGAAAGTTAAATTGTTTTTTAACTGTGAAGTGAAAAACACTAAGTTTATGTACTGTACAATTTAAATTACATGATGCAAATATCAGGGGAGGTAAATGTAGTTTTGAAAAGACCATGTTTTAAAAAAAAAATAGAAAAAAACTATTAGATAAAACTTAGATATTTTGAACTATCTACTGTAAACATTTGTCTAATATTCATAATTAATTTTATTAAGGGTTGGTTTCAATTTGTTAATATAGATAGCTTCAAGAATTTTTTTTATATATATATATATATATATATATATATATATATATATATATATATATAAAGTCAAACAACTTTTAGGGCCCCAAAACACACTATCCGCTTAGAGAGGGAAGGCTGCAGGCACTTGATACATATCCTTTACAAAACATACATGGCCTGAAGATTGTGTCCAGACATGGAACAGACTGCCACTACTTGGTATTGACCTCAGTTTCCAATCTCAGATTTACACGGGCTCTATGTATGAAATTGAGAACTTTTACTTATAGACATAGCATATCTTAAAACTATATTTTTATCACACATTCACATATATATTCTGTGTATTTAGGCAGCAAAAGGGTATGTAACAAATACTGTTTCATTGACGTCTACTTTCTGAATAATACCAAAAACTGGAAAAATCTAAATATTTTTTCTATTTACCCTTATAACATTTAAAGCATAAGATAGTATAGTACTTATAATCATATATATATATATATATATATATATATATATATTATTTATTTATTATAATTTATCATATAGACAAAACCATTTTACTCACTACAAAGATACAACTTGGTTTCAGTGCATTTCAACTGCACTTCGACGGGTGAGAATTGAAAATGGAAACCAAGTTGCATCTTTGTAGTGAGTAAAATGGTTTTGTCTTTATGATAAAATTATAATAAATAAATAATTATCACTCTACTATCGGTATTGAGCACTCTTTTGGATTAATGCTGTGAACGTTGGAATTTATATCTTACTTTCATTCTCATCACATTGGATATATATGTATATATATATATATATATATATATATATATAGTAAATATTATTAAAGACAACAGATATCTTGTCACCTAATTTTGATAATTAATTTTTTTAAATTATGTTTAATCATTCTCATACAAGGAGGAGATTCTATCAAAAATTGTGTGAAGTTCATTTCAGAAGAAAATTACAAGAAATACATACATACATACAGAGTGTGAGAGAAAATTTCATTGACTATTAATAATCACTCCTTTTAAGATCTTGTACAAAAATTTAAAAAAATGTTTGCTTTTGAAGAAAGGCTTGTTGGATAATCTATAGAACAAACACAAATATCTTTTTTTCTGTAAAGAAAGGAAAGAGAACATGAGCAAAAAGGCTATTATTTTGGGATTGAACAAACACTGAGTCATTTCTCAATAGTCTAACTGACCTGAAACCAGATCAGCCAATATTACTCATATGAACGTCAATGTTATTGCTACTCAGGTTTTGTATTTTCTTGTGATACTTATCAAGAACAGACTTGTAATGTTGAGGACCTACTAATAATAGTGCAGTGTGATTATCTTATAAACTGATCATTTCAAATAGGGTCAGACATGCTTTAGATAAATTCAATTATATCATCATAAGTTCTTGGATAAAAAAGGGTTTCTAACAGTAAAATTAGTTGAGCCAAAAATGTTTTATAATGTAAACATCATCATCATTATCATCGTGTTAATAAAGAAAAGATCATTTTGATTCTTAATTATTCTTTTCATGAAAATCTTTACCAAAATTTGTTCCTGTATTCTTGATGAGAATTATTTAAGTAAAAAGAATAAAAACAGAATTCACAGAATTTTCATGGTGTATATTTAAAATTTAGGAGAAGACAATAAAGTAATTGATATCTTTTAATACACAATATATTGTACAATAAAATATAGTGAAAAGCAATACACAATATATTGTACAATAAAATATAATGAAAAACAATGCACAATATATTGTACAATAAAATATAATGCATCTTATATATAAAGTAGAGTGTATGTGTGTTTGTGTATGTGTGCCTAAGCAACTCCTCTGCTCCCACTGGTTTTATTTCAATGATTCATAGCTCATTCAAAAGTCCTAGAAAAGGTGCAGGAAATGATTTTTGTTGAGCTTAGATTTAGGGTTGCCAGATTATATGAGGTTAAAAATATATATATTAATATATTATACTAGCCATTATTGTTGTTTTCATGGTTCAAGGGGAGTTATTTTCCTTTAGTATCCAAAATTACAGTGCACGTTTTATTATAAACAAGCTTAAAAGCCACCCTATCAGATTGTTTTGATTTTCATATCAAAAATAATTCTGTTTAGGAATATCGTCTTGTATAGTGCAGAAAAGTGTTTGAAATTTGCATTTTACTTGGCCTTCAACAATTTGTAAAACTTTCCTTAAATATAACAAACCAATTTATGAATGAAATGTTCATTTAAAATTTTTGTTTAAAAGATTTCAAGTAGTGAATATATCTTACTTTGCAAAGCAATAACAAATGGGCAAAGCCTGCTAGTAATATATATATATATATATATCTTTTGGATGATATGTAGTATATATGGATGATGTAATGTAGATTATAATGCCATATAGCAGGCAAAATATTGTACAATACAATATAATGGCATAAAATACACAATATATTGTACAATACAATATAATGTTCCCATTGCTGTAAGGTTGC